GAATTGTCAAATGTAATGTCACCCAACATATTATGAAAGCATTTTTAGGAAATCTAAATCATTTAGGTGGAATAATTTCATTCACGTGACAGCACTTTTTTTTTTTTTTTTTTGTACAAAAGTGCTTTTTAGTTAAAATAGCTCTCTTTTTTTTTTTTTTAAATTGTATTTTCAATCTATCATTCATCTTTTTTCAATAAAAATGATCTTTTATTGGCAAAAAAAAAAAAAAAAATTAGAATTGCTTTTAAAGTACCGCTTAAATGCACATTTCATTTTGCACTTTTATTGCATAAATTATTCATAAAAAATTGATTTGAAATAAAATTATGACAAATAGGTTCACGTACGTCAAATATGTTTAACAAAAATGTCACCATAAAAATGACTTTTACAATGACAAATTTATTGTTAAAGTTATTTTGCATAAAGTATCTATTAATTATTCTTTAAATAATTAGTACTGTTGTCTCATTAGTTTTCTTCAAATTTATGGTAATATTTTAGTTTCAAAAATGTCACCACAAATGCATATCATGAAAGAGGACATTTATATTGATAAATATTTGCTAAAGAAATTATGCGCAAAATATCTATTAGTTAAAACAATTTTATCCAATGTATCTGTTAATTTATTTTTTTAAACAATTAATGCTATTATCTTATTAGCCTTTTTTTTTAAATTTATTTTTTATATTCACTTTGATATTTAAATGTTTACTATTATTTGTGTGGTAAAATTTCAGAAATTATAATAAAATTTTAAAATTAAATTTTATAAAGAAAATAATTAAAGAAATATTTTAAATGAAATATTTCGTAAAATTGAACTTTTGTTTTCTATTTTATTTAAATAAGTATTGAAATATTATTTCATGCTTTTAAAATACATGACTATCATTTATGATACAACGATAATAAGATGACAAGATGACAAGATGACAGACAGACGATGACATATTCATAATTTTGTTTTATTTAAGCAACTGTTGTTAATGATACTGTTTTGATAATATCATCGTTATTTGTTGTTGAATTTGAATGCGCAAAAAGTATACGTGGATCATCATCAGTTTTTTTCGCCTATCAAATACATATATTATTAAAGAAAATCTTGCTAAAAGTAAAAACGTTTACCCAAATTTTGGGTAAAAAATTAAGCATATGCAAATTAATTAACCATATGCAAATTAATTAACCGTATCCATCACATCATTATATCATCAAATAAAACATTAGAAGTTATTTGTTTATTTATGTTTAAATCAATTTTAGCTAATATTTTTGTCCTAATTTTTTAAACATTTTAATGCTTGGATTAATTGTTGCACAAATTAATTGCATAATTTGATCATTTTCAACTCATTCATTATAATTAATTATCTGTTATTGAATTAATTAAATTTATATACCTGAATTCATGTATTTGAATTGAATTAATTAAATTTATTATCTAATCGAATTTGACTATTATAATATTTTTGAAATGATAAAATTTGAAACTTTTAAATAAATTGAATATTGGTTAATAAGTAAATATTCGTATAAGTAAATAATTAGGATAAACAAATTGTTTAAAAGTTTTGAAAGCTTTCACAGGTTTAAAAGTTAAATGTTTAAATGTTTATACTAAATTTTAATTAAATAATTATACCAAAGTGGTAAAGAAAAGGATTTGATCAACGGTTCCGATGCCATCATGCCGATTAACATCAAAAATAACGACACTTTTTGGTTCAATAAATGTAAAAACCGGTTTTACCCTGTACAACTCATTGTCTGTACATTTTACCTAAATAATAAATTTGAATAAATAAATAAATTATTTCAATTTTTATATGCAATATATATATATATGTCGCTTAGAATTTTTGCATTTAATTTGTAATATTTTCATTTCGTGCAATTTCAAAATGCATGCATGCACGCATATATGCATGCATTTGCATTAGATTCTTTTTTCGTTTCATGAATAAAATAGTAGCTATTCAGGATGTTGATTCAATGCACTTAGCTTTATTGCTTTTAATAACAAAAAAGTAAAAAAAAATAAAAACATCTCAGGTATAATTTTGATCATACCCTTAATCTTGATAAGGATTCTATTAACCTCTGACCTTAAATCAAGATTGCTTTTTTTAGTTAATCCTATTTAAAATCAACACCGCTTAGGTTTTGCACTTCATTTACAATGCTTTCTTTACTTTAAGCAATCTCAAATGCAAGTATGCATTAACTTTTAACCTTAATAAAGATTTTGCTGACCTCTGATCTTGACCTTTTACTGCCATTTTTAGTTAATCTTACTTGAAATATATGCTACCTAGATCCTGGCTTCGTAATGTTTACATTTAGTGCAACTTCAAATGCATGCATGCATGCATGCATTTACATTATTCTTTTCCTATTCATGCATAAATAATTGGCTACTTAGAGTATTTGTTGAATGCTTTATTGCTTCTAAAAGCAAAATATAAAAAATATTTCAACTCTACTACTTTTAAACATAATAAACATTCTGTTGACCTTTGACCTTGTCCCTCTCGATTGTTATTTTCAGCTAATCCTACACTTAAAGCAATATTTAATTTAACAAATATTTTCGAGAAAACATTAAAACTGCATCAATTCATTCATCGAAAATCTGATTCAAATTATTTCATCATAAGTGAAGATTTTACAAATGAAGCAATTTGATGAAGCTTATTAATTAATTATAAAACATGCACGCATATGCAAATTACTTTTCTTTCAATGTAACAAAAATATGGAAATGAGAATGAAAGTTAATATACATTTTCAAGCTATTTAAGAATATATAACCAAATACAGTAGTATGGTGGAAATTGAAAATTTCATCAGAGATGATAAACAGGATATGGATAAATAAATGAAGATGAACGGAAAATTCCGGATTTCGGATTCCGGATAATTATGTGCAACATTATCAATGTTTTCAATGTTTCAGAGATGGAAGAAGAAAAAAAAATGATATATTACAATGATGCTAATATGAAGCAAACTTTTTGTTTTTGTAAACATTTAAAATTTTCATTTTAATTTTTCAATAATAATTATTTTGAAGTGATATTTGTTTTCATATTTTCATTAAATTAAAACGAAATTATTACTATTTGCAAAATTATTGTTGTAACACTTTTTTTTTTATTTTTGCATCAATTATGAGTGAATAATTAATTAATTAAACAAATTTTGCTTCTATTATGCTAATAACCTTTGAATAATTCATGAATTTTGCATAATACAGTAAACTAAAATGTATTCCTTAATTATAAAATGATTTTTCTTTTTTTTTCAAGGATGAAATTCATGCTGAAATAGGTGAAGAATTTTGGACACTCCCTGTTTTAAGCAAAGAAATTCCGGAAACTATTTGTTATGAGCAAAATAATTCCGGATATTATTTGCTGCAAACAAAGGAATTCCGGATACCATTTGTTGCAAGCAAAGAAAATTTTAAAAAAGTGAATAAACGGATTGATAGTACGGAATTTTGAATGTTCCTAAATAAATAGAACTGGAATGTTTTGATATTCTTAACGGATCTTTTTGTTGTAAGTAAAGGAATTCCGGATACTACTCGTCATAAACAAAAGAATTTCCGATACTATCCGTTGAAAACATGAGAATTCCGGATACTATTTCTTGTGAGCAAAGGAATTCCGGATACTATTTGTTGTCAAAGTTTCTATTAAAACATATAATCTATCAGTTAAACATTTTATTAATTTTGTGTAAATTTTATTTTAAAATAAGAAAAAAAGATGACAAAATTAATTTGATAACCTTTATGGCAAAACGATTTTCAGTTGGATTTTTTAGTTGTATTTGTTGTACGGTATTTACTAATTTCCATTTAAGTTGACGTGGAAATACAGTAATATTATCTACCATTAATGCGCTTATAACCGTTCCATTCTCATTACTGTCATCAGAATTTATTGATTGTTTCATTTGTTCTAAAATTTTTATGGCAACAATTTTTTTCTTTTTTTTTGTTTTTGTAAAATTTAATTCATACAATTCATTCAACAATATTTGAACTTTTTTTAAAAAAAAGAATAAAAAGGAAAAATTTAATTTTTTTGCCTTTTTAATTGAATTATTGATTAAATGCAATACTTTAAAATTATTTTCTCTTCTATTGCAAATAATACATTAATAAAAATTAAAATTAACATTTGAATAGAATTCAATGGAATTTTAATAATAAAAATTAAAACTAACGTTAGAATAAAATTTAATTAAATTTTAATGATAAAAATTGAAATTAACGCTCGAATAAAATTTAGTGAAATTTTAATAGCTACGATAGTATTTGCTAATAAATTTCATTTATTGCCATAATTTTTTAACTAAAAAATTTTTTACCAAAAAAAAATATTTACAAATTAAATAGCATACCTTCGAGGTGGAAAAACTTTGTTTTTTCATTTTTTGTCGCTTGTAAATTCTTTTTCTAAATTCAAATTATTATAAAAATTATTATTGCATCAATTTGTTTGGATTTATTAGTCTATGAGAAAGATACAACAAATATTAGTCCAATAAGGTTAAAGGTTATAAAATTTTTAAATTATTATTTATCTTACTGAAAATGTGGCATTTAAATTATTGAAACAGATAGACTGTTCAAATCTCTTGTCAAATTTTATCTCAATTTATTTCTTAGTTTATCGCCCTCATTCCAGATATGAATTTTAATTTGATCTGTTAAATTATGACATTTGAGGCGAAGCAAGAGGAAACTATTGCTTGTAATAATTAGATTAATCACATCATAAGCTATAACAAAATGAAGCTAATACACTAATTTAATTGGAATCTTTTGTTTTAACAAGTGTTTTTTAATTAATTTCTAAATTAAATTACAATAAAGAAAAATTTTCCTTTGAAGTTAAACTTACCTGACAAGATTTTGATGTAAAAACTTATTGACATATCAGGAAGAAAAATGAAACGAATGTTACCTTCAAAAGCAGATGATTTTGATAATTTATAAATGTAACGTTAGATGAATGAAATCGTTCCGGTACCAATTCCGGTAATTCATTCCTGATGATTGCTTTTTTTACAGAACATTTACAATTTGACTTATTTAATGGTGCTATTTGTTGTGATAACAATTCGGGAATCCTTTTCGGTTGCTCAGATTCTTTTTTCTTTATCTGAATCAGAAATAATTTGATCATTTAAAGTATGCAAAAAAAATAAAAAAAATTATTGCGAAACTTTTGTTAAACTATTGCTAAAACTAATTATTGCTAATTAATGAATGAAGCAAATTAAGCGGAATTTTGCTAAATTATCATTAAAACTAATTATTGCTAATTAATGAATCGAATAAATCAAGTGGAATAGTTTTTTGTCACATTTTAAATATTAATCGAGAAAAACGAAAAATGAAGTAATGAATCATATAATACTAACTTAATTAACAATTTAATTGAGCATTTCAGAAAATAAATTACAATGTAATTATCGAATGAATAATTTAAGTATTAGTATTAGTTTCCTATTTTGTCTTTTTTTTTTTTTTTTTACTTAAGCTTATATATGGATGATTAATTTTTTGTCGCACATTTTTTTCATGATTGCTTATCCGGTATATTTTCTGAATTTGTTTCCGATTATTGCATATCCGGTTTTTTTGATATTATATTAATCATTGCTTGTTTTTTGCGATTATTTTAAATGATATTTTATAATTATTGATATATTTCTCATAATTGCACTCTGATATCTTATAATTAATTGGTGTAACTAACTGATAATGTTTTATCATTTTTGGAATGACTTCATTCATTGCTATTGGTTCGATTTTTTTGAAGGAATTTATCACTTATTAGGAAATTTATCTCTTATCACTTGCTTCCTTTAATTTAACATTACTTTTATCAATTACTAGAATAATTTAAATTTATCCTTCATTAGCTGATATAATTGAAATTTATTTTTCATCAGTTGAAATAATTTAGCAGCTGATAAGATAATTTAGGTTTATTTTTTATTAGACGTTAGGATAAAAATTTAAATATATTTTCGTCAACTGTTAGCACAATTTAGGTTTACCCTTTTAATAGCCGATAAAATAATTTAAGCTTATCATGTATTAGCTGTTAGAATATAATTCAAATTTACCTTTCATCAATTATTAGGATAATTTAAATTAACTTTTAACTTAAGTTTTACTCTTCAATAACCTATAGCATAACTTAGCTTTGCTATTCATTCTATATTGTTAGGATAAAATTTCATCAATTACTGGAATAATTTAGGAAGAAAAATGAGTTTATGAGTAATGAGTTTATGAGTGTTTCAAAATGAATGCAAATAAAGAAACAGTAATTAAGGAAGAAGAAAATTAAGAAATTGACGATTAAAAAATTTTATAATTAAGAAATCGTAATTTAAAATTAAGAAATTGGGAATTGAAAAAATTTGTAATTAAAAATTATAATTTAGAATTAAGAAATTTTTTAAATGTTGAAATATTTTAAAAATTATAGCAACAAACCAACGGCATAATTTTTAATTGCTTCTTACATGAACATATAATTGAAATAGCAATTAAAGGTGGCGATACAACAACCATAAATATGCTACCAGCACCCATTAGCATAGATATTTTTAAATAATTCAAAACAATCTATTTAAAAACATCCTTCAATTAATTTTATACACAAATAATTAATTTGCATATTTAAAAATATGATAAATTAAGAAATGAATTTTGGAAAACATTAAAATTTTCAGTATTGATAAGTTAGAAAATAGTATGCAAATTATATCCAAATTAACAAATTATTTTTTAAATTTAAGGGTAAATATAAAATTTAAAAAAAATAGTGTAAAAAATTAAATAATTATAAAAGAAAATTATGCAAATGTTGAGGGATATCTTTTAAAATATTTTATTAATTAAACTAAATTACTAGTTGGCAATAATTTGTATTAGTGAAAATGTTAGCTTTATTTATGAGCATAAAAGTGTTCTGGAAGTTTGAAATTCTATTAAAAATTTTAATTTGGTTTTAAGATGGTAAAAGTTGTCCATTAAATTATTTTTTATTACTTCAAAGGTTTTTTGTGATTTATTTATAAAAGTATAAAATTAACAAAATGTAAATTACTTATAATAATATAAATTAAATTATTCTGTAGTTTATTTACAGATAGAAGTCTTGGCACTTTTAGGGAAATTTTGATTAGATCAATTCATTAAGTTTTTTAATTACTCAACTGAATAAACAATAGCCTGATTTATTTAGTTGGCCGAAAAAAAAATAGAAATAAAAGTGTTTTTTCAGCCTTCTTACATTGTTCTGGTTTATTTTGATTCGTTCTTTTCAAGTAATAAATAAAATATCTTTGATTTAAATTTAAATTTTGAATTGGGACAATTTTATTTCTCACTGTTAAATGATATTATTGCTAAATGACGGGAAAGTTATTATCATTAGTAAGGGATAAAAGAGTAATGCAAAAAATTCGACATTATTTCAGGTCATAAAAATGGGTCATGATAATGATTACTGTAATGATTAAATTTTTTTTTTGCTTAATTAATACTAATTTTTATATGATATTAAATTATTGAACGATAGATATGCTACAATACATTGCCGATATCATTCATTGCTAAAAGGTCATACTAATTTCAGGTGACAAATGATTAATAGAAAATCCTGATAACCATTGATACTACTGTATCATCCTTGCATTTTTTTTTTACTGATTCATTAAATTTAGTTTGACACTTTATTCTATTTATTCATTTCACAAATTTCTCGTTACAAAATTTTTATTGTATTTTATTTCCAAACAATTTCAATATCAATGATTTGCTAAAAGGTTTTTTCAATGAAATAATTAATTGAGTAATTCAATTTATGGTACGATTAATTTGATAATTGATTAATTTATTTAATTTATAATATGATTAATTTAAAATAATTAATTGATTGTTTTAATTTATGGTATGATTAATTCCAAAAATATTATTGCTTAAACTATTGTTGTTAGATGAGCAAAATTGTTTCCTGTTCATACAATGTTGGCTTTTTATAGGATGCTATAAATATTTGAAAATTTCAAAAGATAAAATTTATTGCACATAAATTTCAAGCAAAAAAAAAAAAAA